AAGGAAGGAAGGAAGGAAGGAAGGAAGGAAGGAAGGAAATTAGGAAATCACCTTTCCTCTGAATTTTGTGTTCTATCTGGACATTAGCTTAATTCCATCCATCAACTCACACACCACCATTCTCTGGATATATCTTCATAGATGAACCTAGGAATAATACATTATTCATTTTCTAAATGCAGGAAAACCTTAGATTGCAAATAACTTGTTCTGTGAATGTGCTGCAAGATGAGCAAACATTTCTAAAAATTTTAACTTAATGAACAAACAGTATTTTGCAATAGAAGTAGTAGGTGATATCAGATGTTACACTATCACACGTGAGATCTCTTTCTCTCTTATGGTTTGTGTTGACAGGTCCCCAAAGCCTCATGAGGTCATGTGGGGCAGCCGTTTTCAGAGGTAGCTGAATCTAGACTTTGTGACTGATTCACAATGCAATGCTGGCATTAATTGTTATGGGATTAAGGTTGGGGGATTGCTGGATCACTCCACTGAATGGATAGGTACCACCCTCTTTGCAACAGCCTCCATAACATAAAGTGGACAGAAAGAGGCTTGCTTTCCTTTTTATGCTCTCTCTCTCTCTCCCTCCCTCCCTCCCTCCTTCTCATTGTTTTTTGTGTCTTTTATCACCATGAACTGTTGTCCCTCTGCCATGTTCTACCCTGTTTTAGAACCAGCCATCATTGACAGAAACTGTTACAGGTTCTCCATATAGAAACCAAATCAATCCAATATTAAAATGTATGAGCCATTTATTACCGGGCCTGGGACCACTTCACCATACTCACAGAGCAGAGCACAAACAGCGAGGAGCCTTAGAAGTATAGAGGTTTTAAAACTAGAAACCACATCCTCTTTGGCAAACAAATAGATCATCTAACACAGACAGAACAACACCTTTAGTGACAGCAGGACCATTATTCAACATGCATTCATCTGCGTAGCATTATTTACTTCCCGTTTAACATATATATGCGTACACATGGGTTTAACTACCACCACAATGTTTTTTTAGTTGGTTAGCAACACCTTAGTTATTTTGTAGGTCTATTCTGGAAACTCTCAGTCCATGGACAATTTATGGATGGCACAGCAAGACTCCTTGTCTTACAAGGAAGCAGGGTCACAGAAAGTTGAACTGAGTAATTTTTTCATTTAGTTTTATATTAACGCATCACAGAAACATCTACAAATTAAAACAAACCTTTTCCTTTTTTCCTTTTAACTTTGGGGGTCAGGTAATTCTACCTGAGTAATGAGAAAAAAACTCTCTCTCTCTCTCTCTCTCTCTCTCTCTCTCTCTCTCCCCCCCCCCAAGCCCACTCCTGTCTCTCATCTCATCTATTGTGGGTCATTTCCAATAGCAACAGGTTATGGAGGAGATCTCAGCCTCAGAGAAAGAAGACAAGAGGGTGGAGGAGTCCCTCACTTAAAATGAGATTAGGAAGATATTCAGATTTGGAAAATATCCCCAAATTTTGTGGAACATCACCACCCATAAGGCTGTGCGAATGAATCTGTTTAATAACAGTACACTGGCACATTTCCACAAAAATCCTCAGAAGGAGGCAAAAGTAAGTCATTCGATACTTTCATACTAAAGTTGCCCATAAAAAAATGATTCCATTGAGCCAATAGATTACAATATTTGTGTTAGGTAGTGATAGTCAACATTGTCCTACGAGATAGCCTTCTTTCCTCTTCAGTCTTCTTCAAACCAGCCACAAAGATTTTTGAAGGTATATGCAAGTTAATTTGATCCTCTTTTTTTTTTTTATTGCAGAATTGGGGATTGAACTCAGGCCCTTGCGCTTGCCAGGGAAGTGCTTATTCCACTGAGCCATCTCCCTGGCCCCCCTGATTCTTTTTTAGATTTTGTATTTTCTTCATTATTTTGTGGTGGTCTGCAATATTGTAATCACTTTATGTGAATATTTTTGGGGTGTGGAATGAATCATTTGAGTTTACATTATTCTTAATAAGGAAATTCACTTCAATATGATGTGGTTTGGATTACAAGCATGTTTCCAGAACAAAGTATTCAGGCAAACCAAGATTTTGCTGCAGTATATTCCTTAATCTAGTTAAGTCGATACCTAAAATTAACCATCATAAATATGTTCACTAACTATCTGCAAAATCAGATGGTGAATTAGTGAATGAATTAGTGGAGGAATGGATGAACCATAACTCTATAGAACAGATTATCCTTTTAGATGATAAAAACATTTGGAATAACAATGGAACTGGAAGTGGAAGAGCAGCCCAGGAGTTAAGTGTCTAAGTCTGCAAGGGACATAGAAAGACTTGAGTCTCATAGAGACACACAACAAAGCTATAGGATGGTGTTGCCAGTACTGCAAACCTTAAAGGAAAACTCTGATACAATCAACTTTGTGTTTGCTCAATATGAATGATATTAAAGGAAGCATAAAGAATGACAATGCTTCCTTGCATTGTTTTAAGGCCTCTATGCCTCACAGCACTTGAAAGAATCATTTTCTCACACTGAATCGTGCCAAACTATGGGCTGCATGTAGCAAACACTCCTTTCTCTCATTTGACTGTGAGGACACCCTTGATAGATACACAGCATGTACTTTAGTTGTTAAACATGTTCTTGAGCCACGCTGTCCAAGTCTCGATTTAGTGTCTCCTACACTTACTAAGTTACTTTCAATGCATTCTTTAAGTTTTCTGCCTTTTCCACAATTGTAAAATAGGAATATGAGCACTGACCCTGGAAAGTTCTTATGAAGAAGAAATTCTTAAAAAGGACTTGGTGGGGGAACAAAGGCTATGTAAATATTAGGTATTACTGCTACCTTTCTCCTGATTAAAAACAGAAACTCATGTTAAGTGAATCGAGTGGTGTCATAGTCTATTCGGCTGATATGAATAAATTTCATGATATAAGATGACCTATACATAACAAAACGTTGCTTCTCACAGTTGTAGAAGCTGGGACCCCAAGATCTAACAGCCAGGAGATTCAGTATCTGGTAACAGTTCTGGTTGACACATGGTGTATTTAAACTGGGTTTTTCTGAGATAGAACAGAGAGGAAGCTCTCTGGAGCATGAGAAGTACACTCATCTGGTTTGCAGGATAGAGACTTCATGAACTCATCTCCTCCCAAAGGTCCCTCTTCCTAACTCAGATTCCAGCATGAAAATTGTGGGAAACAAAATATTTAACAGTCATACACCAGAGGAAGAAAACTGAATGAAAACCTGGTGAAATATTCTTCCTCATGCTGGCGATATAGCTCAGTGGAATAAGCCCCTGCCTGGCAAGGGGAAAGTCCTGAGT